GTGATTTGGCGCTATACAAATAAATTGGATTTGATATTTTTTACTGTCACAGCTCAAGCCTACTGCCCGTAACTGGCCTCCACCCCACTGTGATCCAGCCTTGGATTCTACTTCCTCTTTCCTATAAAACTAAAACCATCTTCATACCTAATAAAGATACAAGAAACTCACATCTGATTGAAATATCAAAATTCCATCATTGTTTCTAACAGAACAATCAGAATTACACACTGATTTTATACAAAACTATCAATGCCTTAAAATCAAAACTTAAATCTTTATATTTTGAATACATTACTTGGCTAAACATTCATTGTCATTGATTAGACATTGATCAAACATTAATTATCAGTCAAGTCTTTACTTTTGTCGATGGAACATTAATTTTCATTACTTCCTCAGTATATTGTCTCTTTTCTGTGTGGCATGCACGCACAAACGTTTGCAGTTCCTCATTTCAAGGATGTGTGTCCATTCTTGTATTTTTCACTCTGAGATGTAAATCAGTTCTCCCCATTCTTTTGATACAATCATTTCACATTTTATTCTTACACATTCTCTAATGATTATTTCAATAAACACATAAATCACCTTATGATTATCCTTACTTATTAAAAGCTAAACTTTCTAAGCATTCTGCCATAACATTATAATATAAATTTCTTTGTCTTCTTCAACCTCCCCTGGAATTTTCTCTTCTGCCTTCTCTGTATTTTGGTGCTCTTTGAGGCTCGTTTTTACAGCCTTGCTGACAATATTTAATGATGATGGTGGTGTCACGGTTGGAGACAGTCGTGGGTGTACAGAGTGAAGAGTTTGGGGCTGAGACAGCAGCCCTGTGGTGAGCCTGTGCTGATTGCGAGCTCAGCGGACACCCGCCTCCCACTCTGACCACCTGTGGTCTTTGTCAGGAAGTGCAGAATCCAGTTACAGGTGGGAGTCGGGACCCCAAGGTCTGTCAGCTTCCCAATCAGCCTGCCCGGGCAAATGCAGAGCTGTAATCCAGGAAGAGCATCCTAGCGTATGTACTGCTGTTGTCTGTGTGTTTCAGGGTATGGATAAAAGCCAGAGCTTTCCACTGATCTATTGGGGCGGTAGGCAAACTGGAGGGGGTCTAGAGTGTCTGGGACCATGTGGTTAACGTGTGTGAGGACCAGTTTCTCTAAGCACTTCATGGCGACTGATGTGAATGCTGCTGGCCTGAAATCATTCAGAGTGGATGTGTCTGAGGCGAGGTGTCTGATGGGGGAGGTGACAGTGCGGTGGGTAGAGCAGTCGACTCCCAACCGGAAGGTTGAAGGTTCAAATCTTGGTGCCTGCAGTCGACATGTTGAAGTGTCCTTGGGTAAGACACTGAACCCTCACCCCCGATGGTTAGAGCCATCGGTTGAATGGGTGCCGCAGATGGCTACCGTGGTCTGTACCAGAAATAAATTCCTTGTGTGTAACATATTTGGCCAATAAAGGTGATTATCCTTATCCTGATGTCTCAGGGACTGGTATGATTTTGGATTTTTTTGAAAATGCAAGGACCTACTGCTTGGGTTAAGGACAGGTTGAAGATGTTGTATACACACTAGCTAGTTGATCCCCACAGGCTCTCAACACTCTAGAGGGGACACCGTCCTGCCGCCTTATGGGGATTTACTTGTCTCAGGGCCTTCAGGACCTGTGTGTGCATCATCTGAAAAGCAGTGTCCCCAGGGTCACAGGGAGATTTTGAGGGGGTGTTTGTGTTCATCCTGTCAAACCTTGCATAGAAGTCGTTGAGGCTGTCCGGGAGTGTGGCGTCCTGGGGGCCTGTGTTAGTTGATTTGTTCCTGTAGTTCCTGTATGTGGCTGTTTTTAGTTAGTACAGTAACTACAGTAAAGTAGAAAAGAAAGTCACTTTCGACTTATTCCCGTTTAGGGGTTGCCACAGCGAATCATCACACTGACATTTGGCACGTGTTTTACGCAGGATGCCCTTCCTGACGCAACCCTGATTGAACCTGGGCCGCAGCAGCGAGAGCGCTGCGCCTTAGCCACTAGCCTACCGGGGACAGTAACTACAGTAAACTAGTGGTTAGCATTAAATAATGTTGCTTTTAAAAATGGTGCTTTCTTTGTTCTAGGATGTCTTGCACATTGATTACACAAATTCTGATGAATCTCTAGTCTGCAATGTTTACACATCACTGTTTGGTATCGCCTCTGCTGGCTTGGAACCTCGATGCAGGTGATACCAAATATAGTGCCAAGTACTATCCCCAACATTTGACTGATGGAAACACAAATAAGGTGAGTCGAGTCAGTACCAAGCAGTGGAGAAGGGGCTTTTGCTAAATAGTGTAAAGAAGCTCCAGGGTCTGGTTTACATCCAAATACTGTGCACTCCAGCATATTTCCTGTCAACAGGTGCAGCTTTCACTTCTTGGTTGTGAGAAATTAGTCCTGGCTACTGAGACAAATGGTTTCATGTTTCTCCCAAACTCTGGAAAACCAGTGACCAAAGGGCTGTTGGAATTTGACGTCACAAATCCACTCTGCCTGAACCTCTTTCCCACTCAGATTTTTGGGGAGAAACTATCTGCAGAGTAATGTGAAAACAGCTTGTTAGTGATAAACTATACATCTACAACAGTCCATAGAGTGGAGGGATGGGATTTGTGGGGCATAGAAATAAGAAAAAACACATTGTTGAGTGGAGTGGGACTTGAAGGATTTTGCACTTGTGTTGATGCACCTGAGACATAGGCTTGTCCTGGAGGACTTTGGGCACCTTCAACAGAACTCTCTCTCTGTTTCACTCAGGTGACTTCTCTTTATCCCAGTCGACCTCTCGTCCATCCAGAGAGGTCCCTCTTCAGATGCTCCTTCCTCTGCAGCGTCCCACCACCCTGCCCTCCTGCCCCAGACGCCCTTCCTCCACCCTGCTCCCACAGAGACTCATCCTCACCTCCCCCCAGCAGGAAACGGCTGTTCTCTCCCTTCCGAGGAAGTCTTCCTCAACTCCATCAGCACCGCGCTCCTACATGAACCCCACCGCCAGCTCCATGGCTAAGATGTCCCGTTCCGTCTCCATGAGCGATGGCCTCAACAAACCCACCGAGGATCCTGCAGTGATTGCCTTGATGCCAGCAACAGTAACCTCCTCCTCCTCCTGTCAGGTCAAAGAGACTCCGCCTCCTCTTGTTGCTGTGGTGCCCTCCAACACCGCTCTGGCCTCACACTGCCACGCTGCAGTCATCCCGGTCATCGCAACCTCATTCCTGGCTAACCAAGGGAACCAGGCAGCCCCTCCTGCCTATGGTCTCCAGGCTCGGGTCCCTGACAGTAGCAAGCCGCCGCCTGACAAACTCTCCCTAAACTCCTCATCTTTGGCCAAGACCACGTCGTCTTGGCCTCCTCCAGTCTCCGTCTGCCCCCTGGCTCCCCCTTGCCCAGAGGAACTGCCCCAGACTCCTGCAGGCAGCAGTGCAGAGCAAAGGAATGATACAGGTTTGGGCTCTCATCCACTTCTTCCTTCCTTCATCTTCTCATCTGTCCATCTGGGCTTAGGGCTGGGACTCTACCCCTCATCCTTCTCTCCATCGCTGCACCCCTCCTCTTCTCGCTCCGTACTGACGGGTGAGATATTTCACTCCTGTTTTTCTGATCTGAAACGGATCCCTTTGGTCCTGGCTTTTGGCCAAACAGTTCAAATAAACACAGAGAAAACCGAAGCCATTATTTTGTGTTTTTACAGTGTGGGGAAAATAAAAGGGAAATTGGTTTTATCATGAAGTGTACTGCATTCACCAAAGGTAAAATGAGAGGACCATATTAATGATGTAACTTTCTGCGCAGGTGCGGACCCAATGAGAGGACCATATTAATGATTATGATTGTCTCATAACTACGAGATGAGATCTGGTAAGATTTCTTCAGCACTGAGGTTATTAGATGACAACTGTCAGTACGTACCTCATATTCCAAATCCTAGACTCACCCTAGACTGTGAGTGTAATGTTGCCATGGATACAGTGGGTAGCACTGTAGGCTCATTTAGCCTGGTACACCACTGGTGTGCTGATAGCTCTCACTGAATCACTCTGATACCTGATGCTCGACGGGCTGTTCCAGCTGCTGCACCACTACACATTATCTCATAATTACAAGACAGGATACTTCAGTGTTTCTGTCTTTGGTGAATGCAATGCCTACTGACATTATTCAGAAAGTAGAATCCACATATTGTTGATAGATGTGTCATTGTTGGTAGTGTGACCTTACCTTGTGCCTCTCTCTCTGTGCAGACCAGCCAATCAGTGTGGAGATGTGCAGAGCCCTGACCAATGAACTGCAGAGCTGTTTTAAGAGAGCAACACACCTGTACAGGAAGGTGAGGGCCAGATGGTAGAGATGAAACCTTTTTATGACTTGTGAGCAACCTGTCAGATCAAAGAGACTGGGGCTGAGACAGCAGCCCTGCGGTGAGCCTGTGCTGATTGTGAGCTCAGCAGACACCCGCCTCCCACTCTGACCACCAATGCAGTGGTGGTAGTGTCATGGCTAGAATGTGATACAGACTAAATTAATTCAGACAAATCATCCCAATTTAAATGATCATTTAATATTACAATTATTCTGAACAGAGTAGTAGTAGAATAGGTAATCTGGTAGTTAGGGAACAGAGAACAGAATCACTCCTCCTGCAATGGGATAGATAAAGTATTAAATAAGAAGACTGTCAGAGCGCCAGTCAGTCATTGTTGGTCACGAGGTACCATCAGTCGGAGTCCATAGTCCACCCGGCCGGGTCTAAGCTCACGCACCGTCCTTTCTTCTCTCTTCTCCCACTAACCCAGCTATTCTAGCCTTTATCTGCTCGCCCTCACACACCCTTCAGCCTCACTGTTTTATCTGTAGTCTTTCTGAGGCTGTTACATCAATTTCTGAACTTAGCTTCCTGTCTCTCAGACAACACCCTGAGATGTACCCAAAAACAGGAAACATCTTGACCAACTTATATAAGCTCATTGTTCAGCTCACATGAACTTAAAGTGAACCCATAAACATTATTCTATTACATAATCCATATTACAGTTTTTCTCAAATGCTAAAACACATTTCACAAACGTTTCCTCCATGTTCCCCAATGTCTAAACACAACACCCTTTTCTAAAGCTACATAAACACAACCACACCTTCTCACTTCAAAACTCAAACTTTCACACCAAAAGAGCAGCTCGAAGCTTTCAAAAATGTAAACACTATACACATCATTACACACTACAGCAAAACAATTGAAAACACAATGCTCAATTTGTGAGAAGGTTCTTTGTTTCATAACTGCCAATGCATATTTTTGAAACTTTACAGTAATGGATGTTCTTAGATCTCTGCAGAGGATTAGGCATTTAGATTTGAGAGTTTCATATGAAGAGTATAAATCTATAGTAAATTCTGCATGTACACTACTGTAACACAACTCAATGCAAAAACAGAATCTATTGCACACAACAGTACTCTTGAAAACATGATCAGGGTGTGAAGTTTTTTTATTTACTTTATTCACACCACACACACACACCACAATCACTGTGCGGCATCATGTCGCTGAGCTGCATCGGGCCACATCACCTCATCCACATCGCAGGCTATATTGTCTCTTGCCAGGCACCGCGGGAAAAACGCCCTGGAATGGCGAATCCATCCTTGGAAGGCCTCCACTGGGATGTCAACACAGGCCAGCTCCATTGCCCTTAGGAGGTTCTCTCTAGTGTATAGTTGTCTGTCATAAACCTTCCATCTCCATGATGAGAAGAACTCCTCTATAGGGTTCAGGAAAGGGGAGTAGGGTGGCAGACAGACGTTTAAAAAGTGGTTACTGTTGGTGGTGAACCACTCTCTGATTTGGTTTGTTTTGTGGAAGCGTACATTGTCCCAAATGATCACATAAATTTGATGTGCGGGCCCAGGATGGTGTTGTTGGCGGTCCAGGAGGATGTCTTTTAGCTCCTCTAGGAAGGTG